GCAAAATTAACACACGATGAGTGCAAGCAAAACGGGTCATTCTGGCTTAAGAACGAGTCGTTCCAGATGCAAAATTAACACATGACCTAAACCTAAAACGCAAAAAATAAAATAAAATAATATATATATATATAACACTGCTCAGAATTTGGTTCCCCGGGAACCAAAATTTAAGCAAAAACAATAAATCGTGCTACTCTTGTAAATAATGTATAACAGATGATTTTTGAGTAATTTTTTTTATTTTTAAAATTCTATTCCTGTAAAAAAATTCACAAATGACCAATATGCAACATATAATTCAATATTCATGCATCACAAACAATTCAAAATAGTTTCAATAACCACATGCAACTATTGCATTTCAAGTATCATTAAGCTCCTTACACATATACAACCAAAGTCAAAATTCAAGAGAACATCACCCCCTTCCAAATTCAGTCTAAAACAACTATCAAAAGAAAATACTATAATAATATTTCAATTATCAATAATCAACTATTTCAATTTACAAACTTTCCTTATTTCTAAAAGCTTTAATGGAGAAGAGATGGGGAAGAATGAAGCAAACTCTACACGATTTCAACTCGAGATCCTCAATTCTAAAAGTTTGAATCTCTTGCTCAATCAACTCCAATTGATTGTAAGTATAAAAGAAATTAGAGGAAGAAGAATAAGAAAATTTTCTACAACTTCAGAAATCTTCATTTCCTAACTTCTCTTTACCTTTTCTTAAAACATGAACTTGTAAGATATACTTCTTAAGAAAAATCTTATATATATTTCTTAAGTCGAACCAACTTAATTTGAACTCAACTATTACATTTTTTTTGAGGGAAACTCAACTATTACATAAACAACTTAATTATGAGAATCCCTTAACCCCAAATCTCTAAAACAACCAAACAACAATAAAATCATATATCACATTTAATCAAATTAAAATACCTAAAACACACAATATTACAATCTTTTAATTCCTTCATTATTACATTATGCCTCAAATGTAATTTTACCTCAATTATTAAGATCAAATAATTATTCAAAAAAAATTATGATTTTTCTTATGATATCAAATCATATGTGAGAAGCAAACTAGTTGTATACATAAATATTAAACCAACTGTTTTTAAATATGATTTTACATGTGAATTTAATTTGAATTAGAACGGATTTTTTTATACTTTTTATACACTTAACATTTTTCTTATTTTAATTAGGTGAATCTATACTTGAAAATCAAACATTTTCTCATCACCAAAAGAAGCAAATATATTTGTTTATAGGTAATTAAAGATTTGCTACAATTTTTTTTAAAAAAAATCTAAATAGTTAAGATATAATGGAGAATTTAAAAAAAAAATTGTCATGTTTATTACAAATATATTTTTATTATTTGTTAAAAAAAATCACAAAATTATAAATATGGAAAAAAGCAAAGACAATTGAAATATATAAACTGAAAAATATATTATGTTATTTTATTATGATTCCTTATTTTATGCAAGTTCAAAATTATTTTTGAATTATAATATGTAATTGATTTATTTTGGGTAAATATATATGACAATATTTTAACTATTTCTTGATCATATAATTTATTGTGAAATAAAATAATTAGATATGCTTAACCAAGCTTAATATCTAACATTTAGTTTTGATTTTTAACGTGTGGAAATTACCACTAGATATGTCATATATATATATATATATATATATTAATTGTTGAAATTATAGAATTTGTGATTTAATTATTTCCTTTTATGTACAAGTTAATATTGATTGACAACTTTTGTGCATTAATTTCCTTTCATATACTAGTTTATTTTGATGGATAACTTACACATATCAATCTTAGGTAATTGAATGTTTTCAAACATTCACATAATTATTTATGTTAGCTATCTAACGATTAATGATTTTTTTATTATCTACATACAAAATCTTAGTGAAATATACATAATTAGTGATATATATATATATATATATAATTATATTCTTTTATTGATAAAAAATTATTATAATGATAACAAAATCAAAGTAATTTAATGATCTAACCATTAACTCATATTTTTTCTGAGTTAATTGTTAGTGAATTTTAAAATATTAATTTAATGATAACAAACTTATGTTTAATTTTTATTACTGCCGAAATATTTCTAATTAATGAGAAAAAGAAATATCTAACATATTTCATCGTAAGTCATATTGTCGGCAGATTCACGGTATCATGCATCTCACTTATGTTCTTTTACTTTTCTGTATAACCAAATAATTAAAAATAAATTACCTTCTTTCATTCTCTTTTTATTTCATCAATCCAAATAATGTATTTTTGTACTCATTATTCATTTCAATTAGCATCCTTTCTATTTATTTTCTTCTCTGATTTTTTCCTTTCAATTTGTGTTCCTTTCCAATAAAGTGTAAGGGGAATTCAACACCTTACACTTGTAAACACGTTAGCGATTGATTAGCCACTTTTTTTTTTTTTTTTTTCTTTTTTGTATCAAGACGCGTGTTAAAAAAAGACGCGTATTAAATACCGAGATTGGGGAAGGGAGAAGAATGAAGGTGTTGTTGAAAGCTAAGTAACCCACACAGCATGGAAGAACTTATGAATTGGCATTGGAAGGTTTCCCTCAACGACCATTGGTTTCGTTTATATTAACTCACGTGGGATGCCGCTACTAACAGACAAGTTGGCGAAGTTGTAAAGTTCAAACGAAAGAAGAGTCAAACACAAGCCCAACTTCATCCCCCGCCATTTGACTCCTCAATCCTCATGTACGTCTCAAGCTGGGTCGTCTAGAATACAAGAAAGTAAATACACGAAAAATATATGAATAATAATATAATTTTTAGTTTTACAAAATAGTCTTTTAAAATTTAAAACATTATTTTGAGTTTTTCTTTCTTTTTTATTTATTTATTATATATTTTAACAAACATAACGTCACAATTTTTGGAACGTTAAGATTCTTTTGAAAAAACATACCCCACAGTTTCTTTACAAAATTTCCAATAACGCGCCACGTGGATGGTCCGATGTTACAGTCTCATGGGAAACAACGGTCTTTCTGGATAACACTGGATCAGGAAATTGTTTTTTTATTTTTTTATACCTAACGAACGTCGACTTTTCCTCGCATAATTATTATCGTGGCAATCATGGTTCCACCGATCCATGAAATATTTATGAATAATTTAATATTTTATTAATCCTTCTGTTTCTTAAATACAAAATATTATACAAGTTTTGTAATTTTAAGATATTTATATGTATATAACTTACTTAAATTTAGTAATATTAAAAAATAAGTTACTTAAATTTAATGATAGTAAAACTGTGATACGTTGTGGTGTAACAAAAAATAAATAGTTATTTGTAATCCTATCTGATTGTACAGTTGTTCACTTTTTTTTTTCCTCCCTTTCTTTTTGGTATATCTCTATACGACTGTTGTTTGAGGAGACTACCAAATTATTTAATTTCGAACTTGTTTTAAATATTGGACAATTGCATGTATATATCCATGTAATTGTCACTTGAAAAAAAAAAAAAAGAGGTGAAAATGGCTCTAGGATTGAATGAATAGGTGTGAAGAGAAGGGGAGGAATTTGTATGACGCGTAAGATGCAAGGAATTTTGTCTTTCACTACGCTCCCCCCTCTACTTGGCCTATATATACGCGCACTCCACCCCTTGTTACCACACAAACAAAATAGAATTTGGGCACTGGAACATTCGAGACCACAGAGGTTTCTCTAGTCCTCTGTGGAGACCTTGATTTCTCTTGTTCATTCATTTCCACATAATGGCTCGCTCTTTCAGCAACGTCAAGGTTCTCTCTGCTCTAGTCGCCGATGGACTCTCCAACACTCTCACCAGGTACCCCAATCGTTTCTCATCTTTCTTATTACACATGAATTTCCCATGAACAAAACAGAAAGAAACAAAGAAAAAAGTTCTCTCTGTTTCCTACTTTCCTTTTTAGTTACGTTGCAATATTACTATTTTTTATCACATCATTTATTCCACTCCACGTTTTTCTCTTTATTCTTCCCGTCTTTGTCATAAAACGTTGTACAAATTAACCTACAAGTTACAATTAACGTTTTTCTTTATTGAATAGCTTGTTGAGGGGAGTTGTGTTTCAAAAGCCACTAGCTTGTGTGAATATTGAAGCATGATTTGAGGGATTAATAATTAATTGGTGTTGTTTGTGTGAAAACTGAACAGGCGTGGTTACGCGGCAGCGACGCAAAGCGCAACAAGGGGAGGAGGTGGCTCCATCAGCGGCAAGATAGCACCAAAATCAGGGGAAGACAAGGTAGGAGGTGCTGAAAAGGTTTCATGGGTACCAGACCCTGTCACTGGTTACTACAAACCAGAGAACACCAAAGAGATTGATGTTGCTGAGCTTCGAGCAACGCTTATGCGCAAAAAATTCAACCACTAATTTCAATGACCTTTTATAGTTCTATTGTTGTATTTCTCTCCTGAGATATCTATGACCAACTTAATGTTTCTTAGTGTATTGGATCTCCCGTTGAAAACTAAAAAATATATATGCTTTAATTAGTTGATTTCTCTTTGGTTGAACTTGAATTAAATTTGGAAGTTTCTATGCAAAGAACCAAACGCGCACTAAAAAGTAAAAACCGTCTCTGTGTGTTTTTATTTCGTTCACGTAAGTGCGATATTTTGGTGAATGAATCCGATCGATCAATGTTCGCCCACGAGCTTGTCTTATGTTGTGGTCACGAGCGTGTTTTGGTCTTAAAAGTTACTGATCCGTGTCGTGTGACTCCCGTGTTTGTTCATATAATGTGGAGACCCTGGGACCATAAAACGTACAAAATTGAAACCACGAGTCTCTAAAGATAAGCTAGCACCACGTCTTTCCTCAACTTTTGCCCTTTTCACCCACTGCCACGGGCGATGGATAAATTTTCAGAGAAACATTTAAATACATTGAGTTCATAAATTTTAAATCATTTATTATTGTTTAAAAATAATAAGATAATATTATTTTTTAACAAGCAAATATATTTAGCTTTTTGAAAAAACAATTAATGACTTTTCAAAACTTCAAGATTAATTTGAAATATAAAGCAATAGTTTGTGAAGGGCAGCATATGCATTGGATTTATGGAGCTTGAAACTTAATCATTGACATTGTGGGTGATTAACAATTATTAGTCATAAAAGTGATTCAGAATTCTTTATTTGATTTGTCAGGGAAAAGAAAGTTGATTTGTATAATGCTTCATATGCCGAAAGAAGAAGCTTGAATTGAAAACTGAAGCAATTCTTAAATAACAGTTATTGATTATGAGGTGGCTCAAAGGATCGGACCTGCTTTCAGATTGAGTGGTAAGAAGGTAACCTGTGATTATGATGGTAAATTGGTGATTGAGCACGATAGAAGAGATGTCGACACCTACAAGATTTATAACGTTCAAGTAAGATGCGATTCTGATATAATAATACTCTCTTCGGACATAAATATAAGTAATAAAAAAAACTCGTTAATGAAATTAAACTACCTTTAAAATATCTTTTATTTAATTGATATTTTATTTTTAATAACTATTTTTTATTCTTTGTACCAACTTATAATAAAAGATATATATATATATCAGAATCGCATC